CTGCTCCAGTCAAAGCCTGGGAGCCATAAACACTAGGGAAATCCCTTGCTAAACTGTTAAAAAATTCGTAGATAGGGACTTAACATAGATTAAAACGCAAGCCTAGAAGTCAGTATTGGGCAGATTCAAGATTTCCTAATAGCTAAAAATATACTTACAGATAAAAATTTAATTATAGCAAATATTATTACACAGTGCTTAACATCATCACTTCCCTTTTTAAGATGTATAGCAAACAGCTATAGAAAACCACTGGCTACCATATTCTGAAGTTTCTTACACATCCACATTCATTACATCTCTTTTAACACTGTCATGTAAACTGTCTCACTTCCTGTTATTTTTGAAAAAGTCAAAGCCTGAGCAAATCAATCTTTCAATCTATTTTTTAATGAAAAGAAAAACACTTTGCAGATACTGACCAGTGATACTCCTGATACATCTTTGCTCTGCATAAGAACAGAGTACTAAAAATAGAGGTAGGGAGATCCCTTGATTTCATTTTTCCCTCTGTCAAGTGTCTGTTAAATTATTATGAAGGATCATCTTTGTGAAAGTGCCTCCTGCTGGTGTTCCTGCTCCCCATCCAGCCATGCTCAACAGGCAGCATAAGGCAAACAGGCTGGGTCACGCCAGGTTGTCACTTCCCAGCCATCATAAACTTCTCACCCCAAACAACAACACAGACCCCATTGCCAACTCCAATTGCCACTTCCAAACATGAGAGTGGGGATTTTCCTTTCCCCTGTGAGAGTTTATCAGATAGTGACACTACTGGCGGGAGTCTTCTTCCCTTTGGGGTAAAGGCACAGATACACAGTGCTAGATAAGCTAAGGCCATGCCCAAAGGGCAGTGAATCCCCAGAACAGACATGCTGACGACAACAAAGTTTAGTTTGCAAGCCTAAATTTTTTTTTCTGTTGCCAAGTGAAAGTAAACAGTGCTCCCAAACAGAGAAGCTATTGGTAAGGTGTGTCCTTGAAAGCTGGCCCAGTCTTATTAGTACGTCAGGGGCTAGCTGTCCTTCGAGAAGACTTTAAAAAAAAAAATCAAAACCCTCAAAGAAAACTTGTACACATAGACTAACTCTTCCAACTGAGGCCAGTCCAGTCTTAACATAGGCCTGTCACAGAGCCCTGAGAGACAGGCCATTGTTGTTTATCAGGACCATCTGGAATATTTCAAAATCCATTCAGATTAAATGCACCCAGAGGTCTCTTCGGGCTATGGCTTCAAGCAGATTAATTAGAAAAGACAAAGTGCATAAACACAAGTCATGCTCTGGCTTGGCCATTCAAAGCAAGTAATAAATAGACACTACTCTAGCAGTACCAATGTGAATCCGTGGAAACACAGTAAATAAAAATGACGATCATTAGTCCTCCCTACCTTGCAGTTCTGGGCCATGAACCCAGATTATGCTGTTGCCCATTTACTCATTAAAGGGTATTCAACATTACCGTCGCTCAAATACTCCTCCCCAGGAGAGTTTTCCTCCCTCCTCTCTGTAAGGACACCAACGGCCTTCCAACAGTCAACCTGTGGCATACTTTTGCCAACCAGAAGCATAGCAGCTTCTTGCTACTTCACCTTTCTCTGCCTCTCACCCTAATACACAGGCACATACAGCTTTCCTCAGACCCACGCTGCCAGGTTGACTACCTAGGAGCAATGTTGAGGGCACCAAGCAGAACCCTGCTGGCCTCAGTACTTGTCTAGATTCTCCAAGAACGTAAATATAACCCCTAACGAGCCAAGAAACAGGGCAACCTGAGGGACTGCCTTACAAGTACTCAAAGGAGGTGGGAGATATTCATTGTACCCTATCTTTTACATTCTTGAGCTAGATCCATCTTTTACTTTCTGCTTCAGCTATCAGTAACTTGAGTGTTCCTGATTTCTCATACTTCTACTAGAAGCACTGGAGCAAGGCCAGATATTCCTCATGGATGAGCCATTACCCCAGTATACCCCTGTTCCTTTCAAGCTTCACTCTTTAACCAAAGTCATCCTGAGTCAAACTGGGGTAGGCAGGAGGTCTTGCCCAGTCAAGAAGTGGAATGGCTCACAAATCTTTGCTAGGATGGAGACAGCAGATCACAAAGGCTATCTGAATCCCTGACTGTGGTTTATGAGAATTCAACAGAAGTAACGCGTTAAAGGCTCTGGCTAGGAGATCACGCTCTGCTCTCATAATGTGCAGCTGATGGGCCAAGGTGGCTTGCCTATGCAGGAGAACTTCTAAGCATTACCATATTTGGAAGATGTATCATGCTAGCATCCCACATGCCTAAGCCAAATGTATGTGTGTGGGACATCTATGTGAAACCTGTTCCTAGTAACATGCTTATCCTCACCAATTAAATCATTAATATCTCAAATACGTCTTATAACCTTCACGTTCTTAGCTCCTAGTTGTCTCATCTTATAAGATAAGGCAGCCCAAAAAGAGACTCATCAGACTGATGTTCTGATTCTGATCCTTTGGTCCTTCAGTAACGTTACAATTTTTTTTTCTGGAAAGGTTTAAGATCAGTGATATGAATAGATTGTGGTAGAAAGGCAGGCTTTTTTTTCCTCTCATTAGGGATAGCAGAGGTGGAAGGCTCCAGAAAACTGATTAGATCCTGCTATCCTAGGAAGACAGTGGCCCACCCCGCCTTGTTAGTAAAAATCTGCTTATGAGTGTAGGAAGCTTGACAGTCCCTGGTGAACTGGTGCACAGTGCCAATGATAATCCTACCAGGTCATCGTCAGTGATTACATCCTTTGAGAAAGGCATCTGCCTACTAAGAAGGGTGAAGCGTGATCCTCGCTAAGCTGAGGGTAGAGCTCTACCTAGAGATTATCTCACTGTTGACATGCCTATTACAAGAGAAGACCTCCATGCGGATGTGCCAGATATTTTGTGGTCATTCTCTCTGGACATATTCCTGGAGGTAGAGCTCTGTGTGTCTTCCAGTTTTTTCTACTTTTCACAGTAGACGGTGATGTCCACCTCACCCCAACTCCTAAGGCTACCCAAAAGCTGCCATGCAACCAGCATGCCTGGCTCACCATGATGGTACCATAATAGATTAAAGGATTACTGAGCAGCAGAATTTCTGTGGAATCCCACCAGGTATGAGGGATAAGTCATGGACTGGGAATGTATGGCAGACTATGCCTTTTCACTTGCAGGCACTCATGACTGTGAATCATTTAGACTGCGTGTAATACTACTCTAGAGAATCCTGCACAAATTTCTGCTCATAGTTTTTGATTTACAAAGTTCTCAGCACATCCCAAAGAGTGCTACAAAGTCTAGGGTATAAATAATCAAGGAATTTGTCCTTGACTGCACCAAGAAGGCCTGCAGTGAAGATGCAGCATTCCAGTTATCAGCTTCAAAGTTGAAGTTATACATAAATAAATAAGGGAATTCAGTCTCCAGACTGAACTCATGCACTATCCCTCGATTGCTAGAAAGTAGGAAAGTACAAGTGCATATGTTGCATCCCAAAAGGAACTAAGTCAAGAGGCACAGGCTCGTTTCACCTCTGTCACTTTGACATGTGAATCTTTTCAGCTTTAGTATTAATTTTGGCACAGTGATGAGTCACGATAGGCCCTATGATCTCTCACTACCAAAACAAAACAAAAAAAAACAAACAACAACTCCTAACCTTGCTAATTCCCTGAAACACAAAAACCTTTTAATGTCCCTATTAGGGCAGAAAGACTGAAAGACTGAGTGTATTGCAGTTTATAAAGTCTGAATTAAGAGCATCACCTAGTGGTGAAGCAAACACCACAGACAAGTAAAATCTGATCTCTGCAAAAATAATGCAATTATTCTTTCATTGAAGGGAACATCTAAAAACTATTCTGGCTATATAAGCACCTACTAGGTATTCAAAACAGCAGCATTTATTTAAAAGGAGATTCCAAGCTAGTTTTATATGTATACAAATATTTTTCTTTAAGTTTTTATTCCCTATTAGCACCTAACATCTAGCTATAACTAAGCAAAGCCATTGAGCATTACATTCATACTCTTCAAACTACACAACTAAATGTGAATATTGTTACCTCTATATTATATACTACTTTGCAGCTACTGTCAATTTGTTGGCAGTAGAATTATTCAATGCAAACAGATGTTTCCTCTTCAATTTCCTACAGCAAAGGGAAAGTGGAACATCTCTGTGATCCTACTTGGAAGTTTTAGAAAAAATAAATTCAATTTCAGCCTCACATTTGAGCCTTGTGCATGTGACCATGCATTACTGTAGTTGAACATCTAATTTCATCTAAAAGGGAAAATATTATCATTACTCCATAATCTATTTCTCAATGGTTAATTTTTTTCATTAATACTTCAAATTATCACCTGTTCTAAATAATTCTCCCAGTGAAGGTGAGTTAAAAGGCTGTGAAATGCATGGAGCACACCTATACTTCACAGGGGATTGTGATGAAGTCCTCCTCTAGATGTCATAGGCTGAAACTAGTAAGCCTAACTGGTACAATACAGCATTGCATGGACCCACCAGTTTAGATCTGTAGAAATACAGCAACGAGAGAAACACTACTCAAGCAGACCACTGTTCCAGATCTTCTCTAGCTTATGTGCAGCCCCTGTAGTATCTCCACACCACACTCCACAACACTCCCTTGCACTGGTGTGCACACCTAGATTCTTCATACTCAGCGCACATGTACTCTCAGAGGTATACAGCAAGCTAGGCAACACAAATCCGTTAGACTTCTACGGAGAAACGTGCAACGAAAAAGAAAACAACCTCAGTAACTCTGGCAAAAAAAAAAAAATTCATTGACAACAAATTGATTGGCAACAAATTCAGTTTCAGTGGAGACATAAACAAACATAAGAGACAAAGAATGGCAAAGGGACTCCTGCATGAAAGAGATGCACCATGTAGTGCTGCTGTAAGTATTGATGATTTACACATATTTGAGAAATCAACTCTTTGAGAATAAGAATATTTTATTTCATTTCATCTAATATAAGAAAATACATAGAAGAACAATAAAGTACATTAAAGGTCCAGAAATATCAGCCTGGGAAGAAAGAATGGAAAACAAGAAGCATGTATATTACAGATTAGCTACAAGATGAAGCTGAAGATAAAACTAAAATCTAAAAACAAAACTGAGGAAAGTTATCTGCAAAAAGGAAGCGGAAACTTTAGGACACATGCTATGACATTAAAAACAGCAAATTAGGCTACTGAGTAAGTATTAAACCACAGCAGGCAAGATTTAAAAAAAAAAAAAAAAGGGTCTAATTTCATGAGCAAATACCTCTTTCTCAATCCAAACAGCTTTCTACACTGCTGGCCTTATTACTGTAGGTTTATACTTTAACAGCCTGACAGAGTTCTTCCCTACCACAGAATATCTCCCACCTGCTGTCATCGCTTTAGGACCGCATCCTGATTCCCTGCAGCAGGGAGCAGGACTGCCTCACCTCACCTCACCTCCAGTGCTCTCTCGTAGTCCCCCAGGTGAAAGGCAGAGTATCCAATCCACAGGTCGGCATCCTCCTCCTGCTCACCCACTTGCCGCTTGAACTGCGGAGGGAAGACAGCGCCTAAGAATTCTGCCCGTTAACGAGCGTTTTGTACCACCGGAGAGGCTCACCCACAGCGCGCCCGTTAATCAGAGGTAACGCTAGGCCAACTTATTTCACGGATAACTTGATAACCGGGGTGGAGCGCCACCCCAAGGGAAGCGGCAGGCAGCTCTGGCGCGGCCGGAGAGACCCGCGAGGGTGCCGCGGCCAAAACGGGCACAACGGGCCTAACGGCTCGGAGGGAGGCGGCGGGAAACACCGCGCAGGGCAGGG